CCCCAAAACCCCAAAACCCCAAAACCCCAAAACCCCTTCTTCATAATCAAAATTGAAGGTAAATTTCAGATATTAGATATATTTAGGAGATAGCAATAAAGCTAGGATTTGACAGAGCATCAAAATTGCACGGCTTTAATACCCTGACTCTGAATGGGACACTCTTAATACACCTATAAAATAAAAATATTCGAGTTTTACATTGGTGTTCCAGTGCCCTTTTGCTAGAAATATCTCAAGTTAAAATTCACCTTAATCTATATCCTTACTGGATCTATAAAATATAAGAATTATAAAGGCTGTTGGCAAGAACTTCTACGAGGAATATTCTCCTCGGTAAATGTGAACAAATAATCAGAGCTACAGTATGTAGAATTAGCAGCTGTGCCTCCTAAAATTATGAGAGAGTCATCTCCAAGCTTTGCCATCGAGTGGTTAGCTCTGGCTAACTGATTCTCATTTGGAAATGCCACTCTGATCCATTCGAAATTGTCTAGTCTTAGAGCAAAAATGTCTCCAAGTACAAAACTTTCTCATTTAGGACTACTCCGTTTGGGCAATTGTAGCCCATTTATAGAATTTCTCTTGAAGAAATTCTGGAATTGCGAATCAGGCGTGACTGTAGTATTGAGTGAGGTCCTTCCTCCATGTATTACAAGAAGATTAAGCTTTGGTAAATGTACCATGCAATGCTGATATCGAGGGCATGGTGGCCTTCCTAAGGTATCCGGGTACTTCCAATAATTCTTGGGGTATGGGTTGCCTAATTTGAGAATCCTGAGGCTTCCATCAACCTATAGTGGTGTAATTTTATTATCTGATACCTCGCTATTTTTGTTTCTGCCACCAAAAAGGTAAATCCCTTCTTCTTTTATCAAATGCTCGACCTCTCCCCAATTTGGAGGTGGAATCTCTGAGATTTCTAATTTATCCTTGTTCTCATTGGATCGATCAGGATAGAATATGGCTGCTCAGGCTGTATATCAGATACCTTCAATAGGATTTTTGACCTTGAGGGGCTCCCACTCGCCCAAGTTGAGATCATAGATATCAAGATCTTCTAGAACTCTCCCAAGGTTGTTAATACCCCCGAAGGAGATAATGAACCGGCCGAATTTGGCTATTCAGTGATCTCTCTTGGGAGACACAATATAGTCCCCTTGAGGAAGGCTCTTTAGCTCATTTCTCTGTGTATCAAACCTCATCAACTGGCTGGTGCATTGCCGGCTGATGTTGAGCTTTTGGTTGTGCAGGACTTTATCTGTATTGGTTCCGTCAGCATTAGATTCTATGAAATGTTAAATATTCCATTATTTAAGCGCTTACTTGTATTTTTCAGAGCCAGGTCAGCCCCACCAAAAATGTAGATGTACTTCTCATCTACTCATGTAGCTTGACTAAACTTGCTTTGAAGTTCATCATGGTTCTTTACTTGGAGAATTCTCCAGTCCATCATAGGTTTAAAAGTCAGCTGGATGGTCATTGTGGAGATTTGTTTGATTCCATTTCCATTGAATCCTCCGATGAGGTACCCTTTAAGAAGCCCATCAGGGGTTGAGGTAACGTCTAGAGTGAACTCCTCCCTGACCTGTGGTCTCCAAAGTTTGGATTTAACCTCCTGAACCTGAACCGCTAGCCTGATCCTTTTCTTTATAGTCCTTTTGATCTGATAGAATTTGAGAAAGGTTGGCTTGTTACAGGTAAGTTTGAGTTCATCCATAGTGTAGCGTAATTTTTGTTCGTTATTTATTAAGAATCCATCCGCTGATGATTTTCTCTCCCTTGAAACTCCATAGCCACTGCTAGGAGTATTACTGTTGTAAAAACTGTAATTATTCTTACAAGGGGACCTTCCCTGACTGGCAAATTCCTTCCTCCCTTGTGTGGAGATATGTGAACGACCAATCTCAGAAATATCAAAGAACTTTTGAGAGGTCTTGGTCATCTTATTCGGGTTAAACCTTGGGACAATTTTAGCCCCTTTCTTGTTTATCCATTTATCCTCGATTCTGACTTGTGGGTTAACTATAGGGGTTATCATCAAGGAGTCAAAGACCAGGGTTACCTGCAAGGCCAAAGTTTGAGTTTCTTTTATGAATCCTCTTGATGTCTCTATCAACGTAACTATTGACCACCTTCTGACGTTCCTGAGAGAGAACCTTAGTTTTCTTGAATTTAGTCATGAACATGGCTGAAGAATTATGGGTGAAAAATTTATCATTTATTTCATCAAGGTTCTTGTAGTTAAGAATTGTGAGATTCTTAGTAGTTTTGCATGGCTTGGTTCGACTAATTTGTTTAGTTTTTTTCACGTTGCGATAACCCCCTTGATCATCCATACTGTTGGTACGGTAGTGAGCAAGCATCTGGCGAGGAGATACATCATCATTAAACAAAGAACTCTTGCGATGACCTGAAACCAAGGGTTTTAGAATCTCAATCTTATCCTTGCGATTCTGAAAGCTCTCAATGACTCGAATGGTCGGCATCTTTGCAATTAAGCATTGCTTATTTACGCTTTTCATTCAACCTGCTTTGGAATTGCATTGCTTTCATTCTTTCTAGTTGTTGAAACCTCTCTTCTATCTTTATTTTGGTCTCATTGAGTATATTAGAGGCATCTCTGAATCCTTTATAATCCATTTTATTTCGAAATATATTTCTATTTTGAAAGTCAAATTTGGGGTTTTGGGGTTTTGGGGTTTTGGGGTTTTGGGG